CGGGCTGTCACCCGGCACGGCCCCGGGGCCTGCTGAGTGCCGTGGGCGCTGCCCGACCAGCACCGCCGCTGTTTCCTCCCGTTTCCCCACCCGGAGCAACGGGAAGGAACACTGAGGGGGAAGGTGTCTTTCTGCGTCGCGTTGAGCGGCCCGAGCTCTGCTGTGGGGCCCGGGCGTGGGAAGAGCTTCGTCAGCTGCTTAGAAAGAAGCTCCCGCCACCGCAGCCGTGTCCACCTGGAGAGGCTGTGGGTGTGGGCTGGCGGCCACTTAGAAGGCACTGGTTTGTTTACATGTAAAAACATGAACGCCCGAAGGATCTAAAAAATCACAGCTCGCTTGGCGGGCCTCCTCTGCTGGCCGGTGGCTTTGCCCTCTTCTTTGTGCAGACGAACTGCCTTTTGCTCCTAGCCTGTTGCTTCCTGTGTTCCCCTCCCCTGGGACTTCCCGGCACGTAGAAGTGACTTTGACCTGACTCTGACCCTGCGAGAAGAAGGTGGCCGAGCTGACGCGTGCTGGGCGCTGGCCTGCCGGAGGTGACGAGAGGTTGCCGTGGCGTTCGTGTTCCAGCCGGGCAGACGGGGCGCCAGAGCACACACTCAGTGCCCATTGCGAGTAGCGGCACCGTGACCGAGCATGGCTGCCGGCGTGCAGTTTCCGGGTCGCATGGCATTTGCATGTTTAGTGTTGAAAGGAAGTGCCACGCTGTTTCTCAGAGCGGCTGTACGGTGGTGTACTTGTTTTTCTTTGTTCATTCTTTGAAATGCTCAGCAGTCGGAGGGAAGACCTCAGGACACCGCCGTGTGGCCAGCGCTCTGTGGGTTGGGGCAGAGGGAGCCCCTGCTGGGCCCTGCCTAGCCCGTGGTGCCTGAGTCCGTTCCGAGGCCCCCAGGCGGCTCGCAGCAGCAAGAAAGGGGAGGTTCCTGCTGTAGATTCCTAGTGCTGAGCTGGAGGCATCTCTCCCTTTGATCTGTTAAGCTGCGCCCACTCTTTAGGGCCCGGGGCCCTTCATCTGTGTGTGTCCTGCTGCAGGCGTGGGGCGATGGGCCTCGTCTTTGTTCTCTTACTCCACCAAGTTGTGCGTGTGCTCTTCTGCATGTGTGCGTGCACACACGTCAGTGAGTGTGCTGGGAGCCGTGTGGGAGCCTCCGGTGGGCATGGCTCGAGGGGGGCAGTGGCGGCAGCGCAGCCAGGGCCCTACCCTGTGACTGTGGAGAGGAAGGAAGTAGTGAAAATAGATGGGGGTGGGGGCGGAAGGGGGTGGTGTGCAGGGAGCAGAGAGGACTGGCACAGGCTTGAGGGAGAGAACGGGCAAATAGTGGGGACCGCGTGCTGCTGAACCTCAGGTCCAGAAAGCAGGTTGCAGTGGGTGGAAGGAAACTAGAGCAGGAGGGACCACCCTCCATCCCCCCCTCACCTCCCGAGAGGAAGGAGAGGGGAGAAGGAAACCCCTGTGGGGCAAACAGTCCCCTCCCAGCTCAGGGTCCGCTCGACTGATGGTGACCAGCAGCGGGGGAGCTGCGGTGGACGGGGTGGGAGCGAGGGAAGCAGGCTCAGGGGCACCAACCGCCTCCCCAGGGCCCCAGGCCTGAAGGTCATGGGTCATGATGTCGGCCCACTGGCCCCTCCGATAGTGATTCTTTAACTTCCCCTGGAGCAGCGGACACTTGGTCTGAAAAAACCTGTTTCCTCCTGGGAGGAGTAAGGTGTTCCAGTCAGCACAGCCACTGAGGAGCGGGTCCGGGACAGAGCCCGCCCTGCACGCTCGCAGGGAGGGAGGTGGCTTGCTCTTTAAGAACGGGAAGCAGCATCCACACTAGATGCCGAGGGGCCGGCAGGGGTGGGGACCTCTGGGGCCGGCCGGGATCTAACACGCTTGGGTTCTCACCGTCCTGTGTGTTCCCTGCAGACACAGAACGTCCAGCTTAACAAAGAAATGACGCTCGCCAGCAACCGGAGCCTGGCCGAGGGGAACCTCCTGTACCAGCCCCAGCTGGACGCGCGGAAGGCGTGCTTGACCCAGAAATACCAGGAGCTGCAGGTGCTGTTCGAAGCCTACCAGATCAAGAAGACCCAGCTAGGTAACTCGGGGCCATCGGATCGGTCAGGAGTGGAGTTGGGAGCCCTCTCCCAGCTGCTGCGGCCGGGAGAGCAGTGTTCTTCTAGGGAGACCTCGGAGGAAGAGGCGACCTGGGGAGTGTCTGAACTGCGAGGCTCCGCTGCGTCACCTGTGCGGTTAGGCCCTCAGAGTTAGTGTTGGAATGATCGTCACCGGGACGTTGCATTTTAATGTCTCACTTTAATTTCCAGCCATGACGAGAGGAGGTGGGAACAGAATAGAGTCCTGGGAGCTTTGGGTAGGTTTCAGGGAGACTTCTCGGTTAGGAGGTTAAAAACCACCCCCTTAGAGGTCACAGGGGCATCGGATAGCCTGGTCCCCCCACTGTCTCCATAACTTCGGTAAAAATGGACCAGAACACACCTAGCCAGACAGTGAAAGGGAAGCGGCCGCGTGCCCCGTGCCTGAGGATGCAGACTGCGCAGCCCCTGGGCGTGACAGACACACACACCCCACCCCGGGCGTGCCGACCCCCAAGTGGGTGTTGATGTGGCTCGGAGGCTGTGGCTTTACTGTTAGCTGGACTTGGGGACCATCTGCATGTCCACTGTACGGTGACGGGCTCCACAGGGTGGCAGGCAGGAAGTGCGATGTCGCGAGGGGAGTGTGGACCGAGTCGCGTGCTCAGTATCAGTCCCAGTCCTCCGAGGGGCAGAGGGACCTGGGCTCTGGGGCGAGGTGCACCTGTCCTCAGATTTAGTCTCACTTCCTGGAGAGTCCTCACCAGTGTGACTGCTGTCGCCTTTCTGGCTACAATGCTCGTGCTTTGAAGGGGGAGTGGGAGGGGTGTGGGGAGTGTGGTTGTGAGAGGCTGGGGCCCCGTGATTTCCGAGGGTCAGCCCCCTGCTCACCCTGCCTCTGGCTTCTTCCAGACAGACAGCCCAGCAGTGCTTCCTTGGAGACCCTGTTAGCACTTCTTCAGGCCGAAGGAGCCAAGATTGAGGAAGACACGGAGGTAAACAGCCAGTGTCCCTGGCCCAGTTCCCTCGGGGACGACGAGCACCACACCCCGAGGCCAGGAGGTGGTGCCTCCCAGGCTGCTCCTGAACCGAGTGGCCTGGGCTGGGGGTCCAGCAGGGAGTGGGGTCCTCAGGTGAGGGGTGCCTGTTGTGCTGACTTAGCGAGGGTCTCATGGGCGCTGGGGTGCCACCTGCTCTGAGTCAGTAGGTGAGAAGTGCCCACGGGACGCAGCCGAGCACTGGAGGCTGTAGCCTCACTAAGCGAGGCGATGAGTCTGGGGACAGTTGTAGCTGCGAGGCTGGCGTAGGGGTCCAGATGGGACCCCGGTGGGCACAAGCTGGTTTCGGTCCTGCTGAGCCCACGTGTGTCAGGATGCAGCCAATGGAGGGAGCAGACGGCTCGGGCTGGCCTAGGAGAGGGTTGGAACTGGGCGCGGTGCTGTCCTCTCTGGGCCGAGGGGCCCCCTGCATCCTGAGGCCGGCTCTCCCCAGCCTGCTGCCGTCCAGCCTGTGGTTGGGAGGTGGGCCCGCGGGGTCAGCCAGGCCTGCTGTGCGGAGCTGCGGTGGACGGAGCTGTGGTGACCGGAGGAGGGCCCGAGTTGGGAGGAAGCTGGGGTGCCTCTCCGAGCCCGCTGGGTGGTGGAGGGAGAGTCCTCCCCCCAGGGCTGGGCTGTCCCTGTGACCAGGTGTCCCCTGCTGCTTTCAGGACATGGCAGAGAAGTTTCTTGAGGGAGAGCTGCCTCTGGACTCTTTCATCGACGTCTACCAGAGCCAGCGGAAACTGGCCCACGTGCGGAGAGTGAAGATCGAGAAGCTGCAGGAGATGGTGCTAAAGGGGCAGAGACTCCCGCAGGCCCCGGCCCCACTGTCGTCCAGGGTGCTCGAGCCGGTACCCGCCGCCCCGGAGGCCAGCGGGCCCCCCTCCGTCATGCCTCGGCGCATCCCGCCCCCTGTGCCTGCAGGACGCTTAGCCACGCCGTTTACCGCTGCCATGGGCTCAGCACAGGCCCCGCTGTACCCTCCCCTGCCCCCCCGCATGGGCCTCCCCGCGCAGTTTGTGTCGCCATACCCACCACCTCTCCCCCAGAGACCCCCGCCCCGGCTGCCTCACCAGCCAGGCTTCATCCTGCAGTGAGAGTCCCTGTCCATCCGTCCTGGGAGACTCGCGCCAGCCTGCTGGCCGGGCCCACACTTGGGAGGGAGCGAGGCCCAGGGCCCAGTGGCGTCTGCTGTGAGCACTAGGTGGGGTGAGTAGTGTGGGGCCCTGGTCCGTGCTGGTGCCAGTTTGCAGTCTCCATTCTCGTGCGGTTTGTGTTGTGAGCTCACGAACCTGGGGAAGCTGCCCTCCCTCCCCTTTAGAATCATGGTCCTCCCGTCGCAGCTTTTGCGGTCAGCATGGTTCCTGGTTTCTGCTTTATTTTCATGACAGTTTGTCCTAGCCTGTCCCAGCCCAGTGAGGGTCGGCCGAGGGGCCAGCCCAGAAGGTGCTCACTGAGTCTGTGGGGTGACAGCCCCCCACGCCCCCAAAACCTCAGTCCTTCAAAGCCACCTGCAGGGTTTGCACTTGGCCCACTGCCCAGGGGAGGTGGGCGGAGCTGGACTTTGCACATCGCTGTCCTCCCAGCTCCCCCCACCCCCCCTCAGCCGGTCCCAGGGTTTCTATGAAGAAATACTCCAATATTTTTACTACGTGTGTAAATTTCCTGTTTTATATTGGGGAAGAAAACTTTTTGACACAAAACCATTCAGGGAAACTTTATAAAAAATGCACATGTTGTTTTGAGCAGATGGAAGTGTAGGTGACATGAATCCTGTCACAGGCGGTGGGTTTACAGCTTCACTGGTGCCATGGGGGCTGCCCCAGGCCATGGGGTGGCTGCAGCCCCCAGCTGCCTTCAGGAAGGGCACGTCACGCTGTGTTGTAAGAAGTTCGTGCCCTGAACCAGGGTCCTCTTAGCCAATATTCTCAGCCTCTGGCTGGGCCCTGGGAAGAGAGGGTGCCAAGCTAGGACACTCTTCCTGCCCCTCTAGGTTCTCGGCTATAGGTGCCCCACGTGCTGAATTCCGAGGTGGGGGTGTGTCACCACCTACCTGTGGACAAACAGGCCAGGTGCTCAGGTGGGGAACTCCTGGCTGCTGCCGAAGCTCAGACGGTCTGTCCCAGTGGCCACGGGTGAGGCCACCACCTTTGTACTCAGTGTCCACACAGTTCTCCTGGACTTGAACTCTACTGTATTGTACCTGTTTTCAGAGAAACAGAGCTGTATAGGACCATTTGCTGCCATGCCAGTCAGGGCGCCTGCCATGTTCTGTGAACCCTGAGAGCAGTGCCACCCAGCCCATACCTCTGCCACCAAGCAGGATGCAGCTGACATGGGCTCCGTGTGGATGTGGTGAAGGGGCTGCCAGGCCGGCCACGCCATTGCTCCGGGGCCATGTCTGAGCTGTGGTTGTGAGGCCGTGGGACCCTTTTTAATAAATAGAGAATTGTTACTAACAGGCCTGTCATTTATTTACCTGTGCGTGATGTTTGGTTCTAGAACATCAGTGAAGCTGACTGGTGTGTCGCTGAAGTTAAAAATGAAAGCCACCGAGACGGCGGCCACAGCCGCCTCGTCCAGGGCCTTGGCCCTGAGGCAGAGACCTTGTCCTGCTTTGAATCAGGAATTCTCACAGCCATCAGCGAAGGGCAGAGAGAAGCAGGGTCCTCGCCGGTCTCAGTGGACGCGGCCCTGGCTGCTGCCCACCTGATGGAAACGAAGACAGAAGTCAGTGGCTGACATTCTGCTCTGGGGACCACCCCCCCCTAAGGCTGAGCCATGCCTGGGACCCTCACTGCCTGCTGTCCCTGTCTGCGGACGACCCTGATGCCCTGGGAGGGACTCTCCTCAGTGGGTGGGTACAAGGAGCCCCACAGCAGCCTGAGCAAGCTCGCCCACCGCCGGCTCCTAAACAGACGCCATTCCGTGTGGCACAGTGCGCTGGGGTTTTCCTGAGAAAGCAATTCCTTTTTTAAAGAGAATTTGTATCTAATAGTTTCTCTTTCCCAGTGGCTCTAAGCTTACAGGCAGAATCCAGTCCACCCCACTGCAGGCGCTGGCCCGGGCATGGGTGTGGCTCCTCACCCAGCCTTGTCTGATCCTCTCCTGCTCACTGGGCCCCTTGGCTCACGAGAAGGGGGGCGGAGGGGCGGGGGGCAGGCAGGACAGTACCTGACCCAAGGCTTCTCATTCGGGGTCTCCAAGTGTAGTCGACTTGCACCGATGTTCACTGGGGTGCACTGGGTGAGAGAACAATCCGCTTTAGTCTTCTCAAACTGTGTTCCCTTATGAATAAGAACAGGCATTGGCCGTGAAAAAGAAAAAAATCTTACCTTTTGCAACAGCGTGGATGGGCCTGGAGAGTATTATGCTAAGTGACATAAGCCAGTCAGAGAAAGACAAGCACCATGTGATTTCACTCATATGTGGAATCTAATGACCAAAATGAACTAACAAAAAAGAAACACTCATAGATACAGAGAACAGACTGACAGCTGTCAGAGGGGCAGGGAGTTTGGGGGCTGGGTGATAAAGGTGAAGTGATTAGGCAAAAAGAAGAAAAAAACCACCTCATAGACACAGACAACAATATGGTGATTACAGATGAAAGGTGGGGGGAGGAGATAGAAGGGGTAAAGGGGGATGGTGATGGGAGGAAACTCGACTTGGGGTGGTGAACACAACACAATATACAAATGGTGTATTATACAGTTACACACTGAAACCTATACAATTTCACTAGCCAATCACTCCAATAAGTTCAATGAAGATACAGTACTGATCAGGTAGGTGCTTGTCAAGATACCTAGGCACATTAAAAACAACCACAAAAGACTGCCTTCATGGACTCCAGTTCTTGCAAAGTAAACGGACAGCAATCGTAAATGAACAAATCAGTAATATGCTTTCTAGAGAGTAAAGCTATGAATACAACATGGCAACAGGACGGAGCAGTTCTTCCATTAAAGTAACTTTTTCATTCATCCATTTGAAAACAGGTTTGTCTGTTACTGCTCGTCTTGCTAACACCCCCTGAGGGTGCCATGTGTGCCAGGCAGCCATAAGCAGTTACACGCATTATCTTCCAAGCCCTCAGCACTCCCACCCGTGGGTGCTGTGAGGGTCTGCATCTTATACAGGAAGACAGACTCCCCGTCTCCGTTCCGGACACGAGGCTGGAGGAGGCACAACAGGGATTCACACGAATCCACAGCTGTCCAGTGAGGCAGCCATACGTACACCCTCAGAAATGTCCCCTCACCAGGGTACCCTCCCCTCCGTGCCAGACAAGCTCCGTGAGATGGAGGTATTTATTTGTTGCTGTATCTCCAGTACCTGGCATGCTGTTTGGCACAGCAAAGATGCTCAGTAAATTTTTTTTTTGCCAAAGCAAAACAACCCTACAAAAGCACAGGCAGGGGCCCCTCCCTGTTTACGGAGAACAGTTTCCCAAGCACTGAGCCACCTGGACCTCAGTCACCCTGGGGACAGGAGTGGAGCATGTCTGAGGACACGGTGGGAGTTCTGCCAGCTGGGCAGGAGCCACCTTGACCTTTCCTCCACCCCCTCCCCCGACCGGCACTGTCCTTTTGTTCCAGATGCTTGATCTGAGGCCAAGGCAGGCAGCCAGGAGCCTTCCCTCTCCCCAGTGCCCTCCTGGGAACCAGCTGTGTGCTGGGGGGAGGGGATCAAGAGCCACGGGGGCTGGGGACCTGCCTTGGATGTGGCCTGGGGGCCGTGGAGAAAAGCCCTAAACCACCACTCACCACACAGGCGTCCGGGCCTCCACTCGTAAACTTCCCGGAGAAACCACCTCAGTGACACCTGGCAGAAGCAGCACCAGCCAGGGTTGCTGTGGTTGCAATGCTGTTGTCACCTGCAGAAACTAAGCGAGTCCCAACCCAGCTCCTGGCCCGCGAGAAATAAACAGCCCGGGCGCAGCCCCTCACTGGGGCAACAGTGACCACAGTCAAAGTGCATTTTATTGCCAATTGGACCCCAATCCAAGGAAACACTGAACTCTAAGCCCAGAACTGGATCCTTGTGCTCATCCCGACACAGTGGGTACTGGACGCAGGGGGTGGTCCTCACAGGACCGGTCCCTTCCCCACAGCCAGGGCCCCACCCCACCCAACCACTCCCCAAGGGGGTCTCAGCAATGCAGTTCTTCCGAGTCCTCCTTCAGCGGGCAGGGAGGCCACGCTGGGCTTCAGCACCGGGCGGACTGGGGCTGCCCTCTTCTGTGGAGCACGAGGCTCCCTTGGTCCGGAGGATGGTGGCAGGGCTATGGTTCTGGGCTCTTTCTGGCTGAGCTGGAAACCTCGTGGCCCGGGAGGTGGAGGTGGGCAGAGCCCAGAGCTGGGCCTCCAGGGCAGGGGCGGCCAGAGAGGAATGAAAAACAGGAAGCGGGCGGCCACCGGATTTCAGCGGGAACAGACTCCAGGAGCGAGGGCAGCACCTGTGCCCAGCAGGCATGGGGCTGTCAGCCCTGCCTGGCCCACGGCAGAACCCGGCCCACCTCTCCCCCCAGACCACGTCCTCCTCAGCAGCCCCATCACTGGTGCCCGAGAGCGAGGCCCGAGGAGAAAGGGCGCTGTCCCAGTCCTGCTTTGCCTAAGTCCCATCTCCATGGAATCAGTGTCCCAGAGACCAAAACCCAGGGAGACTCACGCAGTCCCGACAGCCAGCACTGTGTTCTGCTCACCTCTCACCTCAGACCTCGAGTCCAAAAGGCAGGGGAGGCCCTGCCCACCCCACCCCCACGGCCCTGCTCCCAGCGCGCCGAATACAAACTCACAAGGAAAAGCTCTAGCTGGGAACATACAAATGTCTGTGTATTTCCTGAACCGTGGCTCCAGCCTGCTGAGCCTGGATGCTCTCGGTCCCATGGCAGGTAGGTAACTCACATCCAGGAGAACTGCCCTGTCAGCCCCGCTCGGCCCAGATCCAGGGGCTCAGCAAGGGCTGGGGCCTCGCGGACACTGACCCAGGCCGTGGGCAGGCCCGGCCACCTGGTGTGCGCGCCGCGCCCCTCAATGCCTCCTTAGCCGAGTCACGGTAGCCACGTGAGGCCCAGGCCGCCTGTCAGGCTCCCGCTGGACCCCTCGAAGCCTAGGAGTTCATGAGTTGAGCAGGGCAGACGCCATCCTTTTTGTCCAGCTGCAGGGGTCAAAGGTGAGGTGCTCACTTGACATTGCAAGGGGTGCATAACCAGCCAGGCCCCCTGTATCCTTGTCTCCTCAGCCCCCTACATCTTCCTCTTGAGTGAGCTGAGCTCCCCATGTTGCTGGGTCAGCATTTTGCTCCTGCTGGTCAGGGTTTTCTGACCTTCCCAAGGCCCCGTGTCCCACAGACCTGGGAGCAAGAGGCTGGCAGCACCCTCCAGGGCCCCTCCCCATCCCAGCACTGGTGCCTGGCACCTGGTGGTCCTACCTGGTGGTCCTGCCTGGGGGCCACACTGGGCTTCTGGGCCAGGGGTGGCTTCCTGGAGGTCCCGCTGTGGGGGGCAGTGCTGGGCTGGCCAGGCTCCTCCTCTCCAGGCGTCCCCACCCCCACAGCCAGTGCATAGTGTTGCTTCCGAAGCTCTCCCAGCCGCACACGCTCCGCCTCCAGCGTCTTCTCCAGCTCCAGGACCCGAACCTGCCGGCGAGCACCACTCAGCAGAGCCCTCTGGGAGCTCGGCCCCAGGGGAGGGACAGGCCTAGAGGCTGCCCAAGCACCTAGGAAGTGGGGTGGCTGTGGGGTTGGCACAGGCACCTACCTGGGTCTCCATCTCCTGCTTCTTCAGCTTGATGAGGGACATGCCAGAGAAGTCCATGGTGTCTGTGACCAGAGACGGGGTAAGTGTCTGGGTCCCTGCCCGCCCCCCCAACGCCACTCCCAGGCCCCCAGCTGTCACCTCTCTCTTCGATCTGCTCTTGGCCCGACTTAGTGGAGGCCACCACGTTGGCGGCCATCACGTTGACGGTGCGGGAGCACTCCTGCAGGCGGCTCAGGTGGCGGCTGTCCTTGTTGGCCTTCACCTGGGGAGCGTGGGGGTGGGTCAGGATGCAGGGTGGCCCCCATGGGACCACCCCATCCCGAGGTCTCCCGGCCACATGCGGTGTATCCATCGCAGCCAGGAGGTGGGGAACCTGAGCAGAGGCCGGGCCGGCACGGAGCCTCACCTTGGAGGCTGCCACCAGCTGGGCCGTGCTGGCCGCAATCTCGTGGGAGCAGACGATGAGCTCTTCGTACTTGCCCGTGTGAAGCACCACCTTGTCAGCCGACTCCCTGGGGGCAGAGCGGGCAGGGCCTGGGTCTCCAACCCCTGGAGATCAGGGCCACCCCACACTCCCTCCTCAGACCCTGGGCACCACACTCCCTGCTGCCCCCCACCTGGGGCAACATACACCAGCTGCGTGGCTCCCCAGCCGACGGCCTTGGAGGCGGAGATGAGGCCTTCAGTCCACCTTGAGTTCTTGGCGTAAAATTCCTGCTGCGTGGCTGCCCCCTAGTGGCGACAAGAGGGCAGGGCAGACCAGTCAATGACATCACAGGTGGCAATGGATGCTCCCCAGGGCCCTTCTCTGGGCTGTGGGGGGTTCAGCTGACTGCCAGGCAGGTGTGCACACTGGGGGTCTCATCACTGCACCCTTCAGGAGTCTCCTGCCCAAAGGAGCCCTGTGGCCTGGGATGAGAAGGGCGCTGGAGCGGTGGCCCTTCAGGAGTAGCTGAGTGACCCCCACCCTCTCCCCCAAAGGCCCAGCTCACCCTGCCGCTCTCCACAATCTCCTTCTGCAGGCTGGTGGAGGTGGTCACCAGGAGCCGGATGGCCTGCCAAGACCAAGACTTATGTCACACTTGGGGCAGCCCTCTCAGCTACAGCCCGCCCCTGGGGTCCCGGCCACAGAGCCCACCCCTGGGGTCCCAGCTGGCCGCTCACCTTCATGAGGTCTGTGCAGGACTTGAGGATCCTATGGGTTGGAGGGGTGGGAAGAGAGGGCAAGCTGCTGTAGTGTGGCCAGGAAGCCACAGGGGGTTGGGGGTTTGGGGGGTCAGGGGGCCTGGGACATGGGGCCCACAGGGTGGGGTGCGCTGCTCATCCCTGTGCTTCTGGAAAGCGAGCAGTTCGGAGGGCAGACTGCTGGTGCTGGGAGGCGGTGGGAACCTGCTTCGTCCCGGGCCTGGGGGCAGAAGTGGGCTCACCTCTCATTCACCTCCAGTTTCACCCCTGAGCTGGCGTGGCGGGCCTGGTTCATCATGTCCTGCACCAAGGACATAGCTGTGAGCCGGCTGGGAGGAGGGCAACGCGGGAGGAAGGGGGCCGCTGGAGCAGCCGCTGCACCAGGAGGGGTGGGCTCGGCTCACGGCACCACATCAGGGCTGCCTCCCCGTCCAGACCTGCACAGGCCACCTGTCCTTGGCAGAGGGGGGTGCAGCCTGCTCTCAGCCCACCCTGCCCAGCGTCCTGCAGGACGGCACCGGTCCTACCTCGATCCTCCGCACGGCCTCCTCGATGGCCGAGGACGTGGCTGCCATCTCCTTGTCCACCAGGGCCCCCAGCTCCTCCTGACGCACGTCCAGGCTCTTGGGCTTCAGCTCCTGGGGGAGGCAGGCACCCAGGGCTCAGATGGGGTGAATTCAACCCCCAACCACCCCACAGGGAGCCTGGGGCAGCAGGACTCGTGCTCTGTCCCCCAGCACCTGGTCAGCCCAAACTGGAGAAAGATGCAGAAAAGTTGGGGACCCAAGCCTCAACCCAACCCACTGCCCTCCACCAGAGCCCAGCCCACACTAAGCACTGGCTGCACCCTCACCTGGCCCAGCTGGAGGATGGCCTGCAGGGGGCTCCGCACCCGGTCGGGCTGGGCCTGCTGCACAGCCTGCTGATCCTGCAGCTGCCCCACGAGCTCCAGCGCCCGGGCCCCACACTCCCGGCAGGCGTCGATCAGGCCTGGGGGAGAGGGCTGTCAGGGGAGCCGGCGCCCGAGGACCCTGGGAGGAGTGTCCATACAGGCTCCTGCCCAGGCTCTGACGCCAGGACCTGTCTGCAGACTCCCACCCGTCCCTGGTCCACCGTGAGAACCTGCGGGACACAGCCGGGGCCACTTACGGTCAGCAGGGTCGGTGGGGGCCAGGTGAGAGGTGGCACTGCCGTTGATGATGGTGTCCGCAGCCAGGTGCGAGAACTGGGTCAGGGCTGCCACCAGGGCAGAAGCATCTATGGGCAAGGAGAGGACCGAGACCCTAATGCTGCTGCCACGGAGCGAGTCCTGGCCAGCGCCTGAGAGCAGGCGCCATGCCCTCTAAGACAGGTGCCTGCGCCCAGTCCACAGATGAGGAGGAGGGCTCAGAGGGGAGAAGGTATTAGGCGAAGGTCATGCAGCTAGAAAACAGCAGAGCGGGAACCAAACTCAGGTCTGTGACCCAGGCCTACAGGGCAGGCTCCCAGGTGGGCATGGTGGGGGCACCTGTTGTGGGAAACCACCCGAAGGCAAGAGGCAGCCAGGGCTGGTGGAACCAGCACCCAAGTGCCCTGGCCTCTCCCTGCCCAGTCCTGCCCTGCACTCACCTGATCTGGAGGTCAGGTACTGTGCGTGGCCCGTCTCCAGGGCGCTCACGGCGTCCAGGGCCACCTGGGCCCTGCTCACTAGGTAGTCTGAAAGCAAAGGGAGAAGGGTTGAGGGGCAGACCTTTCCTGCCAGCTGGTCAGGATAGCAGGTGGCCGAGTGCCCGGCCGGCGGCCCTACCTGGGGAGCTGGTGCAGCGCAGGTGCAGGGGGTCGTCCAGCTTGCCCACGGCGTCCTGCAGGATGCGCTCGGCCTCGGCGGCAGAGCGCCGCAGCACCTCGAACTGCTCGTCCAGGAGCCTCTGCTGCAGCCCCTGCTCCCGAGACTCCTGCGGGAGGGGAGGAGGCAGCTTGGAGACCTGCCCAGGCGCAGCCTCACACCGGCTGGACAGGACCCAGCCCAGCCCCTCGCTGGGGAGGAGTTGGAGAACAGGCCCAGCTCCACCCCCAAGGGATGGAGCCCCTCAAGAGTGTGCTGGACAGCTCAGGAGTAGAAAGACAAACACCAGTTAGAAAGCAGGCCAACGGTCTGAACAGACATTTCTCCCAAGATATGCAAATGGAAGGAACACAAAAAATGCTCAGTGTCATTTGCCACCAGGGAAACACATCAAAACCACAATGAGAATGAGGCCTGGCCGGTGTGGCTCTGGTTGAGCATCAACCCATGAACTAAGAGGTCACTGGTTCAATGCCAGGTCAGGGCATGTGCCCAGATTGTGGGCTTCATCCCCAATAGGGGCGTGCAGGAAGCAGCCAATCAATATCTCTCTCATTGATGTTTCTATCTCTCTATCCGTCCTTTCCTCTCTCTCTAAAACCCATTTAAAAAAAAACATTTTAAAAAGCCATCACAAAAACAAATAAAAAAATACAATGAAGTACCACTTGAACCCACTAGGATGGCTAAACACAGACAGACAGTGACAAGTGCTGGCAAGGATGTAGGGAAACTGGAACCCACGTACACTCCCAGTGGGAAGGGAAAATGGTGCAGCCACTTTGGAGAACATTGGTAGTTCCTCAAAAAGTTAAACAGCGTTACCATGTGACCCAGAAAATCCATCGTAGTTCCATATGAAAGAGAAAAACATGTCCACACAAAACCATGTACACAAATGTCCCCAGCAGCATCATTCACAATAACCAGAAAGTGAAAACAACCAAGTGTCCATCAGCTGATGATGGATAAGCAACGTGGTCCCTCCACACAGCAGAATGTCCCTGGGCCATGGAGAGGAAGGAAGTTCTCAAACAGGTGAACCCTGAAAACCTGCTGAGCGAAGAAGCCGGCCCTACTGTACAACTCCATTTCTATGAAAGTCCGGAACAGGCAAATCCAGAGACGAGAGCTGACTAGAGGTGCCAGGGGCTGGAGGAGGGGATGCAGACTAACTGCTTATTGCGGGGGGAGGAGGGGGGTTCTCTTTGGAGGGGTGAAAATGTCCCGGAGGTACCAGATGAAAGCACAGCCCTGTGAGCATAGAGACCCCCTAACTCGTCCACTCTCAGGGCTGGGCTGTGGGTATGATGGTCTCGAGCCGGCTGTCACACGGGGTGGGAGAGGCACACTACCTTGTCTGCCAGCCGCCCCTGCAGCTCGGCCCTCTCCTGGGAATGGCGCTGCTGCTCCTGGCTGAGCGCTGCCTCCTTCTCCTGCACCAGGCTCTGGGCGGCCTGCAGGTCAGCCTCCTGCTGCCGCACAGCACTGCTCAGCGCCTCCTTCTCTGCACTCAGCACATCCAGCCGTGAACTCAGCTCCGACCCGCTCTGTGAACACCAGGTGGGTGGGCAGGACTGCCAGGTGCCCACCACCCCTCACGCCCACCCCACCCAAGTTCACAGTCTTCACTATCCCCCGAGACTGCGAGCTTCTGGAAGGCCAGGGCCCATGTCCTGTGTGTTCCCTGCGTGCTGGGTCACAACCACAGGCCAGGATGGCCGAGGGGCCACTGAACCAACCTGGTAGCATCTAGGCATGGCCCAGTTCACGGGGAAGAGGACCCTGACGCCTGTCCCGCCCGACCCGGAGGCCACCCTGGCCAGCAGCTCACCTGCTCCGTGCGGCTCAGGTCCTGCTGCACGCGCACCAGCTCCCCGGACTTGGCCTCCAGCTCCCTCCTGAGCTTCTCTAACTGGTCACTCTGCTCCTCCAGCTGGGACAGGGAACAGTGTGTCACGGGGACAGTGTGTCACGGGGACAGTGGTGCTGGGGGCTGCAGAGTCAGGGCCTATGCACATGACGCACCTTCATCTCGGACTCCCGCTTCACCTGCTCCATCTGGAACACCAGCTGCTCCTTCACTCGTGCCACCTCCTCCTGGTTCTGCTGCTTGGCCGTCAGCTGCTTGGCCGTGTCTGCATTCTGCGTGGACAGGGGATGGGCTCACACTCTGCCACCGCCAGGCCTCCCTCCTCCCGCCAGTTGCCTGCACAGCCTACCTTCCTGAGCAGCTCGGCGTGTGTGGCGATGAGCTTGCTGTGCTGCTCCTTCAGCTTGGTGTAGCGCGCCTCCGTGACACTGGCCTTCTCTGTAGGTGAGAGGTGAGGCTGTGGCCCCCAGCTCGGCAGAGGGCCCCCCACTGGGGACCAGACCCTCCCACTGGGCTCGGCCACCCCGGCCTGGCCACGCACTCTCGGCCTCTTCGCGCAGGCCCTGGTTCCGCTCGCCCTCCAGCTGGGCCGCCCGCAGCTGGGCCAGCTCATGGCGGAGCTGCTCGTTGTCCACCAGCGCCTTCTGCTTCTGCTTCCGCTGCTCCTCCAGCTCGGCCTCCAACGTGTTCACCTGGCCCTTCAGCTGGGAGATGTACCGCTGGGCCTGTGGTGGAAGGAAGGACATGGACATGGTGGACGTGAGGACTGTGTTGGGCCCGCATGCGGGTGCTGGGTACAGGTGCTGGGTGCAGTCTGAGGCCTCCCCTTGGTCCACGTCCCCTCACCTCCAGCCTGATCTTCTCCAGCTCGGCCCGGAGTGTCTCCACCTCTCTCTTCAAGGTCTCGATCTGGAGGTCCCTGGGGACAGAGGTCGGGCAGGCAGGGTTTTCTGAGGCCCACACAGTCTGGCGTTCAAGTTCAGTCAGCACAGGAACTGTGGTCTCATCAGCGCTCCTGGGGATCTGGGTGTCTCCAGTTCACATCCCCCACCTGTGGCCTCTCCTGACCACAGCTCCATGGAGGCCACGGCCAGCCCTACCCCAGGGTGTCCCAGGCCTCACCTGTCATCCTTCATGGAGCCATTGGGGGGTCCAAATGTCTGGTCAAAAAGGTCGGCCACCACCTGCCACAGCAAAGCACCGTGAGCCCCACCCTCCAGGCCAGGAGAAGGAGGGAGCTGAGGGAGGCCCAATCACCCCAAGCCCCCCTGCAGGAAGAGGGGGCCACTCACCGCTGGCTCCCCGGCAGGGGGGGCCGTGCTGATCTCAATGAGGTTCTCGGGCTCCTCGTCCTCGGGAGCCTCCTCGGGGATCACCACCACTGGCTTGATGTGCTCAGCCAGCGCTGAGGCCCGCAGGAAGTTGGGGGGTCCCTGCAAGGGCCATAGGTGAGAGCTGCTCAGAGTGTGCCCCACCCCACCCAGGAGCCTTCCCTGGCCATCCCCAGAGCCCACATGGGGCCCTGCTAGGCACCCGGGGTCGTCCAAGGGCTCAGAACCCAGAGTGGAAAGCAGGGCAGGCACCTCGGGCAGTCGGGGGATCTGGATGAGGCGCTTGAAGTAGAGCATGTCGGACGCTCTGCGGAAGAAGTTCCTGAGGCTGCGGGGACACACGCGGAGGTCAGAGGGGAGCCTGGCCCCTGGCAGCCCCAGCCCCAGACATGCCCGCAGCCCTGCCTGCTGGTACCTGTGAAACTGCTCGTGGAACCGGTCCCTGTGGCCTTGCAGGGTGTCTGCTGGGAGACCTGGGGCGGAACAGCTTGATGACCTTCATCTCTGCTCACCACTCTGTGGCCGCCGAGACTTCACATTCCCCCCTCCCTTCCGCTGCCTATTCCTCCCCCTTCTACAAGCTGCCACAGACCAGAGGGATCACTACCACCCGGCCAAGTCCCCACCATGGAGGGAAGAAATGTGAGTGGACAGGGCGGTCCCAAGACCACGGCCAACCCCTGGGTCCAGCTTCGGAGGCACAGTGAAGCTTCTTTAGACTCAAGTTTGCCCTGGTCTGATACTCAAATGGCTCCTATGCCCCAGACCAGCGTTGTCCAAGTGGGGCCTGGGGACAAGCCCCTTTCCGAACCCCACGGAGACACTAGCACCGACTGGCGCAGGGGCAGCGAGGGGCCGCTGTGAGACCAGGCGTCCAAGGGACCGGCACACACGTCACCTGCACTGCTTTTCTCACAGAGTGTTTGCTTTGAAAACTAGGGATTTTTCATAACAAGTATGTCATTTATGTGAATGGGTAATGAGCTCATCATTGCTACTTCTATTAATTTCTCATCTCTGATCCAGTACATGCAGTCCATATAAGCCCCCTGGGGCTCGGGCTGGACCTCAGGGGCCGCGGTCGTGGTGAGGGGACCGGGGCAGTGGGACTCACAAGAGTGCAGCCTGAACATGAGCTTGACCGTGTAGTGGTAGAGGTGGCTGCAGTCCTGGATGACCTGGATGAGGGGGGCCAGGCGGCACTGGCCTGAAGACATCTGGGACACGGCGATGGCTGTGTTGAGCTGCCGAAAGACTGAGAGAGAGAGAGAGAGAGAGAGAGAGAGAGAGAGAGAGAGAGAGAGAGAGAGAGAGGCGGAAGGAGGAGTGTAGAGAGAGAGAGAGAGAGAGAGAGAGAAGGAGGAGTGTGAGCACAGGGAGCTGGGAGACACAGGCAGAGCTGACGGGAGCCTAGTGACAGCCCTGGTGTGGAGAGTCTCATGGCGTCGTCACAGAAGCCTGGGAGGTGCCGTCCTGGGGAGCCTGGCTTTCCCGCCCAGCTGGGCAGGGAGATTCTGTCCCTCAGATACCAGTGGGCTCCTTACTTCTAGAATGGGAGCCCCGTGCGCTGTGGCTGCTCCAGACTGAGTCCAGTGCTCCCTCAAACTAGGGTGACAAGGTCGGGCAAAGGGGATCCAGCTCAGCCTGGCCAGGCTTTCCCAAGAGCCTCAGGGTGGCCCTGGGAGCAGCTGCAGCAGCAGAGTCAGGACGCGGCTCTGTAAAACCCGTGACCCCAAACTTGTGCCCAGTGCCAACCTCCCTGGACCCTGACAATCAAGCCTTTCATCAGATCATCCAAGTAGGAGGGACAAGGACAAACATGAGGCTGCCCACCCCCCAGCCCCTCCTCTGGGCAGAGACGACAAGTAGGCAGCCCGCCAGGACGGAGAGCCGCCAGGGCGCCCACACGGGACACGGACCCGGGACACTGCTCCAGATGGGCGGGCCCCAGCTCTGAGTCCTCCTGTCACCTCGCCTGGGCTGGGACCACTGGCGAACCTCCATGTGACACGAGAATGCCCAGGAGGGAGGGGACGAGAAGGCTGGAGCTAAGTGCTGTCCCTCGCTTTTATAAAACTTAACTTTTAATTCCATGTCAAGTACATTTTCCTTGTAAAAACTGAGAACACCCATGAAGTTCTATTTGGGGTTTTTTTGAGACACAGCCATTTCTCCACTGAGGGGCGCTCAGGACGTTCCCATCTTTGGCTGCTATAAACCAAGCAGCAAGGAGCAACCTCCGGGTGGGCAACGCCCCTGTACCTCCCTCCAGGAGACGCTGCCAGGATGCCCTTCTCTGTGCTTCATTAAGACATCACTGACCTGGGGGCTTTCTCCACCTTTCCTGGTGGGGACCCCTGTCCTCCCCACACTCAGCCCCCACCCTGGCCAAGAGCAGCACAGGGGTGGGGACCGCAGGACTCAGCTCCTACATGACACATTTCTTCCAGGGTCCAGGCTGGCAGCCATGGCCCTGGACACCTGCCCTAGTTGGGTACTGGGCAGGGCCACCCTCCTGGGCATGGAGGTTCAATGCCAAGCTGCCCACAGGCCCACCCAGACCGGGATGCCAGGAGGCTGCCCAGACACACCTCTTCCTAACTCCCGATTTTCCCTTAAAAAGGCATTTGGGCAGAGACGACAAGTAGGCAGCCCGCCAGCATGAGTCACCCACAAGTTATTCTGAAGCTGTGGCCCACAACAATCACCTCTGCGGCCCTGGGAAGGGGACCCTGAGGCTTCCTGTCCAAAGGCTGCCAGTCCCTGGGTGGGGAAGTCCAACACGACTCAGGGGCCTTTTATAGCAGAACACGGGCAAGTTGACCCAAACTAACTCTCTGGGGCGGGAGCTCCTGGTGGCCCCGCCCCTGCCCCCACACCCCCTGCCCTGGAACAGGAGTGGGTTCATGTGGTGGCAGGAACAGCAGATCTCACACCGGCCCCTGGAACTATCCCCAAAATTAACCAAAAAAAAGAAAAATAGGGATTTTTTTTCATAACAAGTATGTCATTTATGTTAATAGGTAATGAGCTTATCATTACTACTTCTAATTAACTTCTCGACTTCTCTTCTCTGATCCAGTCCATGCCAGTCCACATAAGCCCCCTGGGGCTCTGGCTGGACCTCAGGGGCCAAGCTCTCAGTGAGGGGTCCAGGGCGGTGGGACTCACAGGAGTGCAGCCTGAACAGGAGCTTGACCGTGTAGGGGGAGAGGTGGCTGCAGTCCTGGATGGACCCCTGGGCAGCGCAGGCAGGAATGGGAAGTCAGTCTAGTCTGGCTCACAGAGGCACCCCTGATTCCTAGTCTCCAGGTTCGCACACCTGATCCCTCCCGGCTCACCTGATTCAGACAGTTTCAGCTCGCAGTCCATATAATCGAACATCTCCACGGTGAGCTGGAAGCTGCGGGGGGAGGCGAGAGGATTGAGAGAGAGTGGTAGGAGGCATGCCCCTGGGAGACCCCTCCACAGTTCATCAACACGCCTTTGCACAGCACAACGGCCCTTCAGCCAAAAACACCTGATTCCAAACAAATCCCATCCCCTCAATGTTAGCTTCATCTCCAGGGAACATGACCTTTGGCCCCAGAGAGCCACTGACACGTGGGAACCCGGAGACTTTAGGGACAAACAGGGAAACTGAGGGAGGAGAAGGAAACGGCGCCAGGCCACTCCACCTTCTGGAGAGACTCACATGTCGTTGATGTCAGTCCCAGCTGCCTTCTCCAACACCTCGTCTGTCACCTCGAGGCCCGCAGGAAACTGGGGGTGCTGCAGAGAGGACACCCCTACTCAACAGCTGGCCCAGAACCAGTTCTAACTTCTGAGGGAGGGGAAGAGGCTGGAAAAGCCCCTGACCTGTGGAGCCGCCCTCCGCCCTGGGTGCTGGCTGAGGAGGGACTGGGAGGGACCGGAGACCAAGAACAGAAGATGGGACACCTCCAGCCAGGGCGAAGAGGCTGCCCAGACCCAAGGGCAAGGCCAAGACCACCTCCAGTGTCCACAGAAAACGCGTCAAGAGGCTCTGACTTCCGGGAACCCCGCATCCCCGTGTCCCCTTGGATCAGGTTAGGACAGAACAGGACCTGCCCTCCACCAGGTCCCAGGACATCAGGAAGGAAATCCCAGGGCCCCTCCGCCCCACGACCCTCCCGAGGACACCACCTTGAGGTGGAAGGAGATCTTGGTCAGCAGGAGTTTGGTGTAAACATTGACCAGCTGTCCGTACCGATCGTGCAAATGGCCCTGTGGAGGGAGGAGCTGGATCAGCGCCCACTGCCCGGGAAGGTGCCCCAGAGTCCCATAGGCCCTGGCACGCCACGGGGCAGATCGGGACGCTGAGGTGGGACGACACCAGGTGACAGCCCAGTGTCACTCCTTCACCCACCAATCACTTATTCACTCAACAAACGTTAACCAGCCAGAGGCGACTGACTCTTCTCCTGGGAACCACCACCAATGCCCTTTGTCGAAAACTCTTTCATTTTGTTTTTTTAATCATACTCCTTGCCAGTCTTGCCAAAGCAACTCCTGTGACAAGAGCTCCTTGTCCAGGCAGCAGGCCAGTTCTGGGTTGAGATACTTTATTACAATGCTTGCGGCAGCCTGGGAGGCACACTCCACAGGCGCGCGTCCATGTCCTCCCAGGTGCCTCCTCTGTCACCTCCTAACACTGCTTCCCATGGCCACGCCAGCTGGACGTGCGTCTGCACATGGCACCCTGCTGCCGTTTTCCTGACTTCCGGTGAAACACAGCGGCCTGGGCTCCTGCGGCCCTGGCTCCAGGGGCACCCTGCCTGGCGGGGCTCTAGCATTGCTCCCAGGGGACAAAGAGGCCAGAGGTTCTCTCTCCACCCCCGATTCTGGAGGGTGCAGGGGGGACCTAGATGACCAGCTCCCGGGCTCTCAGACTTGCCCGTGAATAAGAATCTTCTGGGAGCTTCCCAAGCACACAGATTCCGATCTGAGATTCTAAAGCAGCCAGCCTGGGGGCCCAGGAGCCTGCACCCCTCCCACGGGCTCTAACCGCCACCATGACCCGCCATGACCGCCCAGAACGGGCACTGCTGTGTTTCCTGACTCAGGGCCTGAGGGGCTGGAGGCGCCTAGTCATGCCTTTGGAACTTCCTGTACCAGGTCTTCTAGAGCAAGGCTGCAACGCCCCCACTGTCACCCCAGAAGGCATCACTCTAACTTCTGCTCTGAGAGAATGAAGAAAGACACCGTCACAGGGCCCTGCCGTTGCTCCACCCTGAGTGTTGAGGACTCGAACGCCAAGCAGGCCCACGGCTGGACTCTGTGGAGGGTGAGAGATGGAGGCCACCAAGCTCGCCTCTGCACCTACCCATAGCTCCCCAATCTCCCGGATGTTGCTCCGGTACCGCTGGCAGTCATGCAGGACCTGCAGCACAGGGGGACAAGGGGGGAGGCTGGAGAATCCAGGACTGGCAGGAGGGGCCCAACACACTGACCCATGCTGGCAGCACACTGAGGGCGAGGCTGGGAAGGGGCAGGTAGAGGGCAGCAGGCGTGGCGGGACAGAGTCTCTCATTTCAAAGGGACACTCCCTGCCTCCCCTGGGCACCCGCTGCCCCAAGAAGCACAGTGGCTGGAACAGGAGACCCTCTGGGGACCAGTGAACAGAGGCTACTCACGTTGGGGTGCCCATCTCGAAGGACCTTGTGGAGGACATGGCAGAATTTCCAGCTGAGGATGGAGCTGCTGGGAAGCGGCAGGCCGATGGCATAGGACCAGAAGGTGAAGGCCCCCTTTTCATGGTGAGTGCCCAGAATGATGCCTACCAGCGTCAAGGCCAAGTGCAGCATGCAGAGACCAGCGTGGGGAAGGCCGGGGGCACTTGGTGACGCCCATCCCACAGCTGCTGAGCCCTCCCCACATTCCTCCCCCCATCCACCACGGTTCACAAAGAGCTCAGCAAAGGTCAAGAAAAAGGGCAATGCCTTAGCCAGTTTGTCTCAGTGGATAGAGTGTTGGCCTGCAGACTGAAGGGTCCCAGGTTCGAGTCTGATCAAAGGCATGTACCATGGTTGCAGGCTCCTTCCTGGCCCGGGCCTTGGTAAGGGCGCATGCAGGAGGCAACCGATTGATGTGTTTCTCTCACATCGATATTTCTGTCTTTCCCTCTCTTTTCCAGTCTCTCTAAAAATCAATGGAAAAATATCCTCGGGTGAGGATTTAAAAAAACAATCCCATTTACCATTGCATCAAAAAAATTAAGATACCTAGGAATAAACTTAACTAGGGAGGTAAAAGACCTGTACTCAGAAAACCACAGGACACTGAAAAAAGAGATAGAGGAAGACATAAACAGATGGAAGAACATATCGTGTTCATGGAATGGTAGAATCAACATCATTAAAATGTCCATACTACCCAAAGCAATCTACAGATTCAATGCAATTCTCATTAAAATACCAACGGCATATTTCACAGACCTAGAACGAACTCTCCAAAAATTTATCTGGAATAAAAAAAGACCCCGAATGGCCGCAGCAATCCTGAGAAACAACAAAGTAGGAGGGATCTCAATACCAGATATCAAGCTGTATTACAAAGCCACTGTTCTCAAAACAAGAACAGACATATAGACCAATGGAATAGAATAGAGAACCCAGAAATAGACCCAAACCACTATGCTCAATTAATATTTGACAAAGGAAGCAAGAGCATACAATGGAGTCAAAACAGTCTCTTCAATAAATGGTGTTGAGAAAGTTGGACAGATACATACAAAAAAAATGAAACTAGACCACCAACTTAACACCATACACATAAAATAAACTCAAAATGGATAAAGGACTTAAACATAAGATGGGAAACCATACAAATCTTAGAAGAATCCATAGGCCACAAAATAGCAGACATATGATGATGTAGCAGTATCTTTAACAAATCATCTTCTAGAACAATGGAAACTAAGGAGAAAATAAACAAATGGGACTATATCAAAATTTAACAACAACAACAAAAAAAAAAACCTTCTGCATAGCAAAAGAAACCATCAGCAAAACAATAAGAGAGCCCACTGCATGGGAGAGCATGTTTGCCAATGTTATATCTGATAAAGGCCTAATCTCCAAAATTCATAGGGAACTCATACAACTTAACAAAAGGAAGGTAAACAATCCAATCAAAAAATGGGCAAAGGACCTAAATAGATACTTTTCGAAAGAGGACATACTGAAGGCCAAGAGACATACGAAAACATGCTCAAAGTCACTAATCATCCGAGAGATGCATTTGTGACTTTGTTGAGGGTTTTAGGATCCATGCTCATCAGTGATACTCACCTCTAATTCTCTTTCTTTGTAGTATTTTTATCTGGTTTTGGGATTAGTGTAATGCTGGCTTCATAGAAAGAGCTTGGAAGTTTTCCTTCCTCTTGAATTTTTGGAATAGTCTGAGTAGGTTAGGAATTAGTTCTTCTTTGAATGTTTAGTAAAACTCCCCTGTGAAGATGTCCAGTCCAGGGCTTTTTTTTTTTTTGCTGAAAATTTTTTATTATTGTGTCAATTTCATCAGTAGTTATTGGCCTATTCAGGTTTTCTGATCCTGATTGAGTGTTGGAAGATTATATTATTCTAGTAATATGTCCATTTCATCTAGGTTGTCCAGTTTGTTGGAATAGAATTGTTCATAGTATTTTTTTTTTTACAATCCTTTTTTTCCCCTGTGGTTTTGTTTGTTACTTCCCCTCTTTCATTTCTGAATCTGTTTATTTGGGTCCTCTCTCTTTGTCTCTTTGTGAGCCTGGAAAGAGGTTCTTCAATCTTGTTTAACCTTTCAAAGAACCAGCTGTTGGGTCTATTGATCTATTTTATTTTATTTTTTTGGTCTCTATGTCATTTATTTCTGGTCTGATCTCTCTTGTTTCCTTCCTTCTACTTACTCTGGGCTTTTCTTGTTGCTCTCTTTCTAGTTCTTTAAGTTCATAGCAGCACAATTTACAATAGCTAAGATTTGGAAACAGCCTAAGTGCCCATCAGCAGATGAGTGGATTAGAAAACTGTGGTACATCTACACAATGGAATACGCTGCTGCGGTAAAAAGGAAGGAACTCCTACCATTTGCAACAGCATGGATGGACCTGGAGAGCATTATGCTAAGCGAAATAAGTCCAGAGAAAGGGAGAGGGGAATGGCGGAATGGTGGGATAAGGATACATATATAATCAATAAAGAAAAAAAAGAGAGAGAAAGGGCAAGTTCATGCCCCTCAAATTTAACTGACCAGGGGGGTGAGGGCATGAGTGGGGGTTGGGGGGGAGAGGGGAATGGCGGAATGGTGGGATAAGGATACATATATAACCAATAAAGAAAAAAAAGAGAGAAAGGGCAAGTTCATGCCCCTCAAATTTAACAGGGCTCAGTGGTCTAAGACAATAGATGGTGCTCCTGAGATGAGGCTCAGAGTCTGACAGGAGCTGCTCGAGGCAGGAGACTCTGCCGGGCCAGGACACAAGAGGACATGCGCCCGTCTCGGTGGGGGTGGACCTCACAAAGCCCCAGTGGCACTAAACCACTCCCACTGTGCCCATGGTCAGAGGCCACACAGGGCAGGCCCACGTCCTCCCACCTCCTCCCACCACCCCCTGGGACCCAGAGCAGGAAGGATACGCCGGGCATGCTTCTCCTTCACGGGGGCCTCCTGGGTGTTGATGGCCTTACTGATGCTGATGGCCTGGGAGGGACACAGGAGGCAGAGTTCAGAAACGGCAACACCCAGACAGACAGGGCAACCCTTCCCGCGGTGAAAGGCACGTGTGGAGACCAGACATCTCTCAACCTAACCAAACCAAACTCTGAAGGCTTGACATGCGCAGCTCAAACCACAGCTGACACCTGAGGCCACCAAAGCCCCCAGAACTTCCAGGGGTCTGGGCGGCGAAGAAAGTGGCTGCTGGCTGCAGAGACCACCTGCGCTTAGCTTTCCCGAGGCGAGGCCCAGGCAGGGTCCTGTCCCTCCTCTGGGAGAAGCGGCCTCGAACAGAGCCCTCACCACACGCCGTGGACAGACATCTGCCAGCCCCATCTCGCCATGGCAGGACCCAGAGAAAGGCTGTAAGCTGGCAAGGCCCATACAGCCACTATGTGGAAAGCCAGGATAAACCCAGCTCCGTTACCTGCCAAGCAGGCTGTGTCTCTCCCGGGTGGGGCAGGAACGGGAGTGGGGTTCGCTGCTACCACCTGGGCCCTGAGCAAGCAGCAATCTCATCCTTGACGAAGTCCTCTCCCATCTCCACCCGCTGGAGTCTGGCCTCATCCCCCCTCCTCTTCCGAGAAGGCTTCCTAGAGGTGACTGCTCCCTCACCAAAGGCTCAGGGCACCTACTGTCACCCCTCCCACCTCACCCAGGAACTACCACCAGCCCTGGGTTTACTTGTGGATGTTTAATTTCTCCACCTGGCGGCAGGTCTTATAAGCCTCTGTCCCCCCACCCAGCACTGAGCTGGGGACATCAGCGTTTGTGGACTGAGAGGGGCGGCCTGCGAGTGACGGGACAGGGGCCTGTCGAATGCAGACACCTCTCCCGGCCAGATCCTCTCCCGCCTCCCGCAATTCCTTACAGGGCCACACTGCCCTTTCCC